AAATGCGAAGTCAGCGTCATCAAGTTCTGACTACGAATTGTGTGACGATTTGGTGCGGTGAAGAAGCCTGTAGTTGCAACTGGTAAGCCATTGTTGAATAGTGTCACGGACGACACCGCGGTTTGTGCAGGAGAAGAGGGCTACAGTTTAAGAGTCCAGTTCTGACTTCACAAGTTTACAAGGTATTACTAGTCGGAGTAAAAGTATAGAACCAGTAAGGATTTGTGAGGAAGAACCCAAATTGTCTAGTGCTGTCATTAAAGAGTTTGAAAATGATGAAGTCGACTAGATAGACGACGATAAGGTGAATATTTGCGATAATGATCATGACAGTGCACTTTTGTCTATGGTTGATCATGATGAGATGAGCGGAATGCCTATTACTGCTGAGTTGAGTAAAAGTTCTGTACAACCTGAATGTGAAGTAGAATTAAGAGCAGATGCAGCGGTAGAAGGTATGGATACTCATGAGACCGTCAATGTAAATGGTCAGTGTATAGCCCACCTATCATCAGATGCTAATGTTAGACTGAAGCCAATAATGAAAGACAGCAGTTGTGGTAATCTTGCAGTTAGACAACCTTCCAAAAGCCGAAAAGCAACAGCTTGGTGTTGTCATCCACAATGGAAGGGATGTCCATGAACTTACGTGTCTTATGATATGACTATGCTAGTATTAGCCCGTTCGAAAGGACGAAAGTCAACGGTCAATCTTTTGATGATAAGCCAACTGTGTGTGAGAGGGTAACTGTTAAACTGATTTGCACGAATAAAGGCATTTCAAGTTTCAATTTGCGATTAGAATGTTATGAGCTTTGGTGTAAGCTTGGTTGGTCACATATGTCGTATATTTGTTAGTCATTTATATTCTAGGATGCTATGGCATGAGACTGTTACCATTCAAATTTGAGGATATAGATGTGAGAAGGCCGCCTCCAGGATGATTTTCCAACCTAGAGCCTCAACCTGGGAAGGGTTGTAGGCGTCCTACAATTCTTCAAGGGTGGTACGTCGAAGTGTAGTCAACCGTGCTTGGTGTGTTGTATTGTGCATATGTTCATGTTGTATATACTGAATTGGTATCATTTCTCATCTATCTGTTGGTAACTTTGTTTGTGTCCGGACATTCTTCAACTTACAATCGTCAACCTGAGAATGGTTGCAGGCGTGCTGGTGTAAGTCCTGCAATTCTTCAAAGGAATAATATCAAGACATGATCCGCGAGGTTATGTGCACTGTTTGTATATATGTGTGGTGTGTCATATCAATTGGTGTTTTTTGGATTCATTGTGTTTACTTGTTGTTTTCGTACCTTGTTGGTATGCCTAAATTTGTTAAAATTTTCGTCGTGCTTACTTCTGAAGTTGTTTCGAGTCTTCTACATCCGTGAATGAATTGACTGATGTTAAAGAGAGCAGATGGGTATTACACGCCGGGGAGGCCAGTGCTGAGAATGACATGTACACATAGATAGGGATTAGCTGTGGAATCAATGATTGAGAATGAATGTTTCTATTTAGGCTGTGGTCCCACACGCCGGGGACTGAGAGTTTAGACGACCGAGGCTTGCATACGTCACCGTTACTAGAACTGAGGCAGAACGAGTGACAAGCGATTGCATTGGTAATTGGTAGTGAGTAGATAAGAGGATGTGCGTAGAGTACCGTGAGGTGGTGCTATGGTCACGTTACATTCTGCAGGAGTCATTCTAGCAAGTGGCGATTGTGTTGCAAGATGTCAAGAGGAGGCCTTTAACTTGAAGGCGCAGGTCGTCATTGATGTGTGAGATTGTGCTGTGAGTATGCTTGTGGTGTGTTGGCTTTTCTGTTTGTTTTCCACTTCAGCTCTGTCCGTGTGACCCAAGTTCTCGCGCTGGCACCCAAGTCAATGTGTATTGGTCGTGATGGAAAAGAGGGATGGATCGATTTTATCTCGGGGAGTGTCAATTTAGTTGAAGATTGAATGCTCAAACCCAACTCCATGTTTTCCACGGGTCATCAATCCTGCAGCCATCGTCTCATCCTTCACTGTTCAGAGGAAGATAAAAAACTATTCAGCAGTATTATCGTGATTTATTCTAATAACATTTGTTCTTAGACCTTGTGTGATAACCCTATTGTTGGTTACATGTTGGCGTGAGAATATGTGATTCTTGAGTCACCAATCAATGTTTTATTTTCGAGTTGGTTAATACAAATTGTTTCTGAAAATCTTCGAGGTTCAGCGTAGTAAGAGCTGGATATTGACACTATATTACCGTTGACTGACAAAAGCCGTAATGGTATGTCTTGAAAAGATTGTGTGAAATATGCTAGCAGATATATTACTCGACAAACAATTCAACAATTAGATTACGCGAAATGCCAGTTTAACGAAGTTAGCTGAAGTCAAACACGGAAAAATGTCAATCGAAAAGTTTTTATCAAGATAAATTAAGCACTACGATTATGGTGAAGCGAAAACGGCAATGATGCGCCAGCTTGGTTTCTCATGCAACCAAAATGACAACGGTGGTCATTTTTGCAATCCTGATCAAATAATCACTTCATACAGGTCAGCACCAATTTCAAGCATGAGGAGAGACACGCTCACCTGACGACCTTCGACACCAAGTCGACTATGGATTCAAACAGATCACGTGGTGATTGGCTATCGATGGAGACGGTCAGGAGATGATTCCTGCTACTTCTTAAACGCCTGTGTAGACTACCACCATGCTCTGACCCTTGCATATATATGCCAACGACTGAGCAGATATAGAAAACGGGCAGCCATCAATCCGCCACGCCCTCAACTTGACGAGAAATGAGGGTTTTTACTCAGGGACCGACAGTAATATGTATCCTGTCAAATGTAGAGGCAGTAGTAAGGCAGTCAATAACCTGAAACCAGCAGTTAGTAAATACCAGTGGATTTCTTCTGATTCATCCGGACATGATGAGGAGCGAAAGCTGCTCAAACCCAAGCTGAATAAATAAATGTCTTTGCAATGAGAAATGCGAATGAAACATGAGCTGTAGGTAACACGAGGAAACTATTTGGACTCATTAGACCTGAAGAACTCCAATGGTGGGTGGAACGATTTCTGAGAAGAAGCGTAGCTTGCTTGCTTCCCAGAATGGATGAATGCAACATTGGAGAGAGCACATTCGAGAACAATTCAACTGGACCTGAAACAGACCTACCTGAATAGGATGTATACATGGGTTATGCAAATATAACTGAAATAGCAAACGCTCTCTCTCTAGTCGAAATTGAGGTAAATCGGCGATGTCAGGACGTCGTTAACTTCAGAGGTGTCTAGGAATGGCGATGACGAACTATTGACTAGGATGTTAGACTATGTGTGGGAGTCTGAGATAGTCCCACCAGACTGGTATCAATCAGATCATTGATCGTGCTAGTTTATAAATATCAGAAGGGAGACAGGACTACCTGCGATAATCATGGAGGGGGCATTAGCTTGACTGACATAGTATGTAAACTCCTCTCTCTTCAATAATCATGCGTCGACTGGGGATTACTCAGGAGGAACAAATCTATGAAAACAAGGTGACCTATGAACCAAGACTGCGGTGTATCTTTCATATGTCCACCTTCCGACAGATTCTGGAAAATAAGAATGTCAACCGGCGTCTTCTTGATTCGAATATGGAATTTGACTACATCGACCGAGAGTTAGGGTGGAAATGTCTGACTGTGAAGGGGGTGCCGATAAAGTAAATAGTACTAGTCAACGCGCCCTACTAGAACTCAAATAGTCATTTAAGAGACTATGGAAATTTTCATCTGAATTGATGAGAACCGGTGTTGTCCACCAGGGATTCCCAATGTCTCCCATCTTGTTGTATTTCATCATAACTGAACTAACGGATGCGACGTGGAAATCAGCTTGTTTCCAGAGAAAGTTCCCATCGATTCGGAGTGTACAGATGACATAGATAGACATATGAGACGCAGACCCAGGCGAAATGAAGACACATCTGAAAAACTTCAGCAGAAATCTTGGTGTGTTTGGTATGTGATTCGCCCTTGTGAGATATAAAATGATGCTACAGGATCAGTATACGCTGACTCCTATTTAGCAGATAGCCAGTGAAATGGTTGTGCATGTCGACCACTTCATTAGTTTGTGGAGTTGCGTCAGCCCTAGTGGATTGATAGCTGACGAAGTCTCAGCACAAATAGAAAAGGCTCAGTGTAATATATACCGATTTCTATCACGTCACCGGCCAAGTTAAACTGTCGACACCACTGACTGCCAATCGGCGAACGACATCGAATTATCCAATGAGTTTCATATTCGCAGTTCAATGTTGTTTAGCGCTTGATTCATTTCTGTAATGCGTGACATTACACGGTTGCGGTTGCATTTCGAGTAGAACGGTGATTTCCAATATTGGCTAGATTTAGGGTTGCTCCGTAAGGAGCGAACTTGTTTGTGTGGTGGTATTGTAGTGCACATTGTACCTTTGAACTTTTGTTTAAACTCGCTCACCCACGGTGATCCACGTTTTACCTTTTTAGTTGGGAGTCTTCCGTACGTTCATTGGTTCGCTCTCTTGTTGTGCTCTCTTTCTGCACACTCTCCGAGCCTACCTCCAGCAACGTCTGCAGCTAAGTTGTACAGTCACTTTATTTATTAAATATGTTATTTAGTTACGTTAAATACAACTCATACTAAGAATTCTTTCCATTGTTAGCTTTTAAACTTTGATTGAGTTAATCAGTACTTACACGTTAGGTAGAGTACTGGTAAAGTCATAAGACGGTGAAGTTTTTAGTAAGTGTGGTGATATCGAAGACTATATTAAGTCTAACCTTAACACTTACAAGTGGTGAGCCCGTTTTCACCGTTTTCCGCCATAGTAGCTTAACGTGTTAACAATTCTTTTTACGTTCCGTCTATTTTGTTATTTTTTTCTTTTCTTTCACGCACGGTTATAAAGATTTGATTTGTTTTGTTTGTACTTATATTGGTTTTTTTATCACCTTGTTAATATTTTGTCTTGTGTGCAAGATGGCTGATGGGGGGTCATCAAGCTTTGACGCGGTGGCCCATATTGCCAAGCTATACGAGGAGATCTGTAGTATACGACAGGAGATGAACTCCAGGAGTCGTGGACGCAGTCCCTCGAGTTCGCGTAGTAGTAGACCCTTGTCACGTGCTAGCAGCAAGCGCCGACAGTCCCGAAGTAACCAGCCTGGAGTGTGCTGGTATCATCGACGTTACGGAGCAAAAGCCCAAAAGTGCACTCGCCCGTGCACCTTCGATGTTCAACAATCGGGAAACTAGCAAGCCAGCACGTACTGGCGACTAACGTCGCTGGCGAACCGCTCTCATGTCGCCTCTTCTATGTTACCGACCGTAACACTGGGATACGCTTCCTAATTGATACCGGAGCAGAGGTCAGTGTAATCCCACCCACAGTAGAGGAGCGCAGGCGGCCAATGTCTCTTCAACTACGAGCCGCAAACGGTTCGCCAATTGCTACGTTCGGCAGGCGCTTTATAGATCTTAACATCGGTTTGCGTCGTTCACTTCGTTGGGTCTTCCTGGTGGCAGACGTTACCACAGGTATAATTGGCATGGATCTATTGCAGCACTACCAATTACTGGTAGATACAGGTAATCATAAGTTAAGAGATCCTGTCACAAACCTCTCCGTCAGCGGTATCGTCACACAAGGCCCAGCCCTCAGCCCTGTATATGCCACACCCACTAGCACTGGTCCTTATTCGCATATACTGCAGTCTTTTTCAGATTTGTTCAAACCTAGCAGCGGCCTGCCATGTGCGACTTCCAACGTCACACACCATATTGTCACTACTGGCCCGCCAGTTTTCGCAAAGCCGAGGCGACTATCCCCAGAAAAACTAAAGGTTGTCAAAGCGGAGTTTGAGCATATGCTAGAAATGGGGATTATTAGGCCATCCAGCAGCCCGTGGTCCTCACCGTTGCACCTGGTACCTAAGAATAACGGTTTAGATTGGCGTCCTTGTGGCGACTACCGCAGACTAAACGCACAAACTGTTCCCGATCGCTACCCTGTCCCTCACATACACGATTTAACCGCCTCACTCAAGGGAGCTCGAGTATTCAGCAAACTGGACCTTACACGGGCTTACTACCAGATTCCCGTCGACCCCGAGGATATACCTAAGACTGCTGTGATTACACCGTTTGGCCTGTTCGAGTTTCTTCGAATGCCTTTTGGCTTACGGAACGCTGCCCAAACCTTCCAGCGTTTTATACATGACGTTTTGCGCGGGCTTGATTTCGCCTTCGCCTATCTGGACGATATCTTGGTAGCTAGTCCAGATGAAGCCACTCATCAACTTCATTTGCAGACAGTTTTCCAAAGACTTGTGACACACTCCCTCACACTCAACTTGCCGAAGTGTCAGATTGGAGTCACTTCCCTGAATTTTTTGGGACATAGGATAGACAAAGATGGAATTTATCCGTTACCTGACCGGGTAGAAGCTATTCAAAACTTCCCTCTACCCACTTCTCCCAAGGCACTACGCACTTTTCTCGGGATGGTTAGTTACTACCGTCGCTTTATCCCACAGTGTGCTCATATCGTGACCCCCTTGACTGATATGCTTAAAGGGAAATGCAAGTCTTTGGTGTTCACTAAGGAAGCCTCGACAGCTTTTGCAGCTATCAAGAAAGCTATTGCTGACGCCACAATGTTGGTCCATCTAGATGTTCAACTTCCAATCAGCATCTCCGTAGATGCCTCTAATACTGCGATCGGAGCCGTCCTACAACAGCGTATGGCTAATGTATGGCTACCGATTGCTTTCTTTTCACGTAAACTTACCGCATGCGAATCTCGATACAGCACATTCGGTAGGGAACTTCTCGCTGTCTATGCTGCTGTCAAGCATTTTCGTCACTTCGTGGAAGGCCGGCAATTTACGGTATTTACCGACCATAAGCCATTGACGTACGCCCTCCACACTACTTCAGACCGGTATTCACCGCGAGAATCACGCCATTTAGACTATATTTCCCAGTTCACTTCTGATATCCAGCACGTTTCTGGATCGGATAACGCGGTAGCAGACGCTTTGTCTCGCGTATGTGCTACGTCCGTACCACCAACCATCGATCTTCATAAAATGGCCGAACTCCAACTGAACGATTTGAACTTAGAACACCTGTCAAATAAAACCTCACTGAAGATAGAACGCGTCCCCTTGCTAAACAGTGAGGCAACTATACTTTGCGATATGTCAACTGGTACTCCTCGACCGATTGTTCCCACGTCTTTACGCCGAACTGTGTTTGAGTCACTCCACAACCTCTCCCATCCTGGCATACGAGCAACGGACAAGTTGATTTCTGCGAGATTTGCGTGGCCCGGTATGAACCGTGATGTGCGTCAATGGACACGTGCTTGTGTGCAATGCCAACGTGCTAAAGTCACCAAGCATAACATCACGCCGTTGGGGACGTTTGCGACCCCAGACGCTCGGTTCCATCATATCCACCTGGATATAGTAGGGCCTCTGCCCCCGTCTAACGGCTGCTCGTATTTACTCACATGTGTGGATCGTTTCACACGTTGGCCGGAAGCCATTCCGATACCAGATGTAACGGCTCAAACCGTCTGTCGTGCCTTCATGGAAGGCTGGGTTGCCCATTTTGGATGTCCCGCAACTGTCACTACCGACCGCGGACAACAATTTGAATCCACAAGCTTCAAAGAATTGTTAGAGATGCTGGGATGCAAACGCATTCGCACAACCGCGTATCATCCTGCGGCAAATGGCCTAGTAGAACGTTTCCACCGTCAACTCAAAGCTGCGTTGATGGCAGTGGACAACAGTAAGTGGACAGATTCGCTACCACTGGTCCTGCTTAGCATCCGGGCTACGCTTAAGGGGGATCTGCAGTGCTCGCCAGCTGAATTGGTGTACGGTACCACCATGCGTTTACCAGGCGAGCTAATCGCTCCCGAAACTTTCGAGCCAAATTTCCCGATACCACCCGTTACGCTCAGCAACTTAAAAGTTTTATGCAGCGAATCCGACCAGTTTCCACACGCACTCAGAACCGAAAGGTTCAGGTTGATCGGCGACTTGATGACTGTACACACGTTTTCGTGCGTCACGACGCCATACGAAAGCCATTACAACCACCGTATGACGGGCCTTTTAAGGTCCTTAGTCGTAAAGATAAATTTTTCGTTATTGACCGATGCGGCCGCCCAGACACTGTCAGCATAGACAGACTTAAAGCGGCATACACTGAAGAACCTTCACCCTCCCCATCGGCTCAATCAAATAGCCCCACTGAACCTAGTCCTTGTCCAGACTCAACTACCTCACCTCCGGTGGCGAATGATGATTCTCCTACCGTCACCAGTAAGACCCCTGTCACACGTGCTGGTCGACGTGTTCACTGGCCCAAGAGGTTCGCAGAATTCTTTCACTGAACTAATCCATAGGTAATGCTACTAGTGATTTTTTATTCCTTGTCACAATTTTTTATTCAATTTTGCTATATTTAATCTATTTGGTCCCGCTTCTGGGAGTAGTCGTTTTTCCCTTCACTAATCCTTTTAATCTTTATCTCTCGTTACAGAGGACCAGCAGCAGTTTGTTTTTACCTAATTTTTCATCTATTTCATCTCAATCTACTCGCTAGATCAGTTGGCTTCTCATGTCATCTTGTAACCCACACCAAAAGAGGAATTACGAACAGTATATTCCCTTTCACTGCCCAATTTCTTCCAAAAAAAATTATTATAAAAAAAATTTATAAAAAAAAAAATTAAAAAAAAGAAAAAAAAGTAAAAAATGTAAAATAATAATAATAAACAAAAAAAATTTTAAAATTAAAAAAAAAGTCTATAAAATTATTTAAAAAAAAAAAAAAAAAACTTCCACTGTATAGTTAAATGGACAGATATACATATTTTTGCGCATAAATGCTTCACTTCTATGCTGTACATAGTAATCCGCTCAATTTATTTTCACAGCCTGTACTATATTCCTTCGGGTTTATGCCCTCCTGCAATTCATTTATTTTGTGAACCGTACTTATAAACATTATGCATCATCTTAGTATGCACTTCGCAACATGAACAAAATAATTTTGGTAATGATAACTACTCATAGCTATTGGTTATGTACTAACTTCTCTGTAATTTTATAAGTTCTCACAGGGTAGAAACTTCCTTTGTTTTATCTCATTCTAACGTACTACTTCCAAGTTGCACCACTTTTCCTCGCATTGATTTCGCACAAGCTTTTGTAGTACCTTTACACCGATTTTGAAATCTTAACCTCTTCTCCCATTCTCTTCTGTTGTTTTTTTTACCCTGCTCCTTATCATACGCTGGTATAATGATTGCCTTTAACATGACTGCTAGGTTCTGTTGAAGCGGAGGAAGGGAGCATTAGTCTAAAATGAAAGTTAGACATAATGAGTCACCTTCTTGCTACGACAGCCTCGGTGGCGGAGGTTTACCATCAGACCTCCACATAAGTAAGCTTGTAATAGTACGGAATTTAAAAAAATTAATCGATAAATATCAATACAAAAAAAAATACTAAAAAAAGATTAATAAAAATATGAAAGACAAAAAAAAAAAGAAAAAAAATTAAAAAAAACACCAGACCGCAGAAGCTTACAACCACACAAGGCACCAGCGTCATTTCTTATCATATTCCGTCTTACTTCACTAATCATGTACATACCACTTCCAACTTAACTTAATTTTTTTGCCTTTTCTTTTGCTTTCTTTCCTTTCGATAAAATTTCTTTTTTTACTATTCCTATCTTCAAACCTTCGTATTCACTCATTGCTATTGTGCCAAGCCATCCTACTGTTGTATATCGAAGCTTGCTGGTTTCCCACCAACCTTCTAGGGGGGGGTAACCTGTAGTGCACATTGTACCTTTGAACTTTTGTTTAAACTCGCTCACCCACGGTGATCCACGTTTTACCTTTTTAGTTGGGAGTCTTCCGTACGTTCATTGGTTCGCTCTCTTGTTGTACTCTCTTTCTGCACACTCTCCGAGCCTACCTCCAGTAACGTCTGCAGCTAAGTTGTACAGTCACTTTATTTATTAAATATGTTATTTAGTTACGTTAAATACAACTCATACTAAGAATTCTTTCCGTTGTTAGCTTTTAAACTTTGATTGAGTTAATCAGTACTTACACGTTAGGTAGAGTACTGGTAAAGTCATAAGACGGTGAAGTTTTTAGTAAGTGTGGTGATATCGAAGATTATCTTAAGTCTAGCTTCAACACTTACAGATTTGTTCATCGTTGTGCTAAATATTTGGAGCGTGCTAGCATGAGAGAAGGTAAGCTGATAATTTTAATATTTCGTAGGAATTTCTTTCGTCGAAGTTCAACAATAGCGTCCCAGGAGTTCGAACGCTTCAATGACTTTGAAGGCATGCTAGTCGTTGGCTAACGGCACCTACTATTATAATAATAGGCTATGATATATCATAGCTGAAATATCAACGCTATGCATGATATAAGGAGCAAGTTTCACCCAGATAACGCTTTTAATTACTGTTTGGACAATATTTTAATGTCGTTAGGGTTACGATAAGGGTTAAGTTAAGTATTGGGGTTAGAGTTAGGGTT